CTAGTTCTCCATGACCTTTCCGCTGCTTTTGATACTGTTCATCATAGACCGCGATTACGGAGGATGAGAAGAAGCGGTTGAAGAGATATTACTCTCTCCTGGTGCTCCTCCTACCTCACCCAGCACTCTTTTAGCGTTTCTTTTTCTGGCTCTGCCTTTTCCTCACAACCTCTCTGTTGATGTCCCCCAAGGTTCAGTCCTTGGTCCCCTACTGTTCTTGATCTATACTGCCTCCCTTGGTAAACTCATTAGCTCCTTTGGCTTCTAATATCACTTCTATGCAGATGCCACGCAAATCTATCTGTCCTCCCCTGATCTCTCCCTGTCCCTCTTGACTAGTGTCTCTGCTATTTCTAACTGGATGGCTGCCCACTTCTTTAAGCTCAACTTTCCTCCTTTAAGTGTTGCTACTCCCATTTGTCTCCCTCCACGTGAATGGTGCTACCATCCGCTCCACCACGCAGACTCATTGCCTAGGTGTTCTCTTTGACTCAGACTTCTCCCACACCTCTCATGTCCAGTCTATTGCCAAATCCTGCCGCTTCCATCTCAAAAACATTGCGTGCATCCACCCCTACTTAACGCCAGATACGGCTAAGGTGCTGGTCCATGCCACTGTCCTCTCTCGCCTTGACTACTGCAATCCGCTTCTCACTGGTTTTACGTGCTCCCAACTTGCCAAATTGCAGTCTATAATATTGGCAAGGCTCATCTTCCTGTCCGCCCGCACCTCCCATGCCTCACCCCTTCGTCAGTCCCTGTATTGGCTTCCTGTAAGATATAGGGCTCAATATAAAATTCTGGTTCTTTATAATTCTTGAACCTCTTTCTGGTGACCATTGTACCATGCCCATGGAAGTGTTGAACAAGGCTCCCTGTTCTGAGATGGGAATAGCTGACTTTTGGTCATGTTGATTGTGATGAACTGAACCTCATCACGGGTTCTTGGAGGGGCCTGCTGGCCAGCCGCTTGCCTCAGGACTATGGGCCCTGCAATATACCTTGCCCAATGCACTTTAAAAGGCTCTGTTCATGTGAAGTAGGTACTTTTGTACTCCAGACAGAGAGACCGACCTTTAGCCCTAATTATCTGGAACTGTTTTTGGGCATGGGACCATCTGCACGGTCGGTCAAAAATAACACTTCCAGGAAATTGCTGAACCCCTGAACTTATCTGGGTGATTTTTGGATATGTTGGTCTATCGGGGGATGTAACATTTGTGGGGTTTTATTTATTTTTAGGGTACTTTTGGGGTGTTTTTAAAAAGGTATGTTTTTTTTTTTCTGTGCTTGGAGATAATTGGATTAGAATTAGACCATTACTGAATTAGACAATGATCCAATTATCTCCCAGGCAGAGGGGAGGGATTGTGTGCTGTGTTTGGGAGTGTCATGCCTTGTAACCTTATTGTTATTGGTCTGTGAAGTTGCAAATCAGTCCCTCACAAGGTCCCTGTGGGCATACCCCTTGCATGGGGATTGTCATATAAGGCAGAGTATGGCTCCCATTAAACTGAGATTCGTTTACCCCTTCATGAAGCCTTGGCTCATGTTTGGGGGATTGGAGAACTACATTCACTCTAGGGATTGCTATATCACAATACTCCCCGTGAGTCGGGGTGCCAGGTGGTCTGTCACATTGATCTTCCAACTATGATTTTGAAGAAACTGCAGACACATTTGTCCATGACTCAGTAATGTATCCTTGTTTTCTGCCAAGATCAAGATGTCGTCTAAATAAAGGTAAATGGCTATGCCCTTTGTCCTGAGTTCTGCTATTAAGACGACTAGCACCTTGGAGAATGTACAAGGAGCTGTTCTTAGACCAAATGACAGGGCACGGAATTGGAAGTGACTGTCTTCTACTGCAAATCTGAGGTATTTTTGATGCTGGTGAGCGATGGAAATATGGAATTAAGCGTCCACCAAGTTTATGGATTTAAGCGTCCACCAAGTTTATGGATATTAGCCGCTGTCCTGGGAATACTGCTTTTATGATTGATTGTACTTGGACTTGTGGACGTTTTGGGACCTGTTTAGTCTACTTAAGTCTAGAATTGGTCTCCATCCTCCTGTGGTTTTTCTCGTAAAAAATATATGGGAGTAAAACCCCGGAGTTTGTTGAGCCCGTGGTACTTGAATGATGACTCCCTCTTTTTGAAGGGATGAAATAAATGTTTTTAAGGTGCTTCCTTTTTTCCTTGTCTCCTGCCAAAGTAGTTTTTGCACCAGGGCCCACTCTATATTAGTTCTGCCGCTGTGCAGCAGCTTCCCCAGCATACAAGCTCTGCCCCTGCATTGAAGATAGCCTTCCCGACACACTGACAGAGACATACACACACATTTTCTCACACACTCACAAATTGCTATTTTTATTTTAGCGTATATCCACCCAGCCTCCCTACCTTTAGGAGAGCTGAGTGGATCTTTCCCTGGCGTCCAGAGTGCCTCCTCTCAATCTTCCTGCAGTTTCTCTCTGCTCCCCTGCACGCTCTCTGTAGTGATGCCGGGACCGGAGTTACGTACTGTCACTAAACCGCTTACAAGGGAGCAGAGGGGAACCGCAGGAAGGTTACTGCTCCCTTGTGCGCTGCCTCCATGCTCTGTTTCCTGCGCATCTTAGCAAAGGACTGACAAATGCTAGGCGCCAGAGCGAAACGTCAAGTCGCAATGGTGACCTGGGATTTTTTATTTTTTATTTAATATATATAATATATACACGTTTTATAACTGCCCCCCTACTTTTGTTCCTGGCCTCTTATGTGCCCCCTCCCCCAGCTATAAATCTTGGAGACGCCACTGGATAGGGGGCAGCCTACAGGAAGGGTCAGCAAGAGGCAGTAAGGTAAAGAGAAGGAGCAGGAAGGGTCAGCAAGGAGCAGTAAGCGTCTGCCAGGAGCAGGAAGGGTCCGCACAGAGCAAGAAGGGACAGCAAGGAGCAGAAAGAAACAGGAATGAACAGGAACGGTCAGCAAGGAGCATAAAGGGAGCGAAAGTAGCAGAAAAAGATCAGAAAGAGAAAGGAGCAGAATGGTGCAAAAGAAGCAGAAAGTAGCAGAAAGGTAAAGGAGCAAAATAAACCAATGAGGAGGGAAGCCTGTGTCAAATGAAGCAAAAGAAAAAGAGATTGGAGCAGGAAGGACAAGTAAAGTGAACCCTCCACTTCATTCCGGACCGCCGACCACCCTCTGGCTCATTAAACATCAAAGAAACCACAAACTCAAGAGCTCTCTCTGAGTGGTCGCCGTTCGTATAATTGAACAACACGTTTGCTGGAAAAAGGCAGCCATCTTGTCGTACGAACGCAGGCAGTGGGATCTGGTCGTCGATCGCATGGAACTATAAGTCGGACACTCAACCTTGTGAACAACTGGTGATTTTCATACAAACACCTGCTTCTTTTCCTGACAAGATAGGAGAGCGCTGTTCAGTAGGATTGCACGAACTAGGCGAACAATCGATACCTATGAGCCAGGGGAACCGTTCGACAGTTTGTTCGTATGAAACTCCCACAAGTGACTGACCGCTACCACTATTTCTCTGTAACTAATTTGGGCAGACACCATGTGTGTGGTCGGTCAAACCTTTACCCCAGTGGCGATTTGGCCACTTTGGGTGCTCAGATCAAAGTATACTTTGGGTATACCAGAGCTATAATCACTGCTTCACTTGGAACTTGGGAGGCGGAGTATAGGGGATTCGTTACATTACTTTTATTTATGGAGTGTCAAGAAGCACAGTGTGCCACTGGGTATTGTTTCTGCTGATTGGCTAGAGCGGTCAGCTGGCACGGTAAGCCAATCAGTAGCAGGATACGTAAGTATTGTTTCCATAGTTGGAAAAATTCCTGCGGAAGTCCATGCTCCCAATCACAATTTTATCAGACCGAAGATTGTTTGTTTTTTTAATGAGCAATTTTATTAGGAATGTGAGGAGTAGACTGATTTCATTTACAGGTGAAAGGTGAAGCTCAATATGTCCGTTCCAGTGCGTTGTGTGTGCTGAGGGAGGAAGTTTTTATGCACAGAATTGACATTAGGTATCCCAGAACTCCACCTGAGTTACATGCGCAGGGGGTGCAACTAGCCCCCAGCACACAAGTGCAGATTTCAGCAGAGATGTTGCACATACAGATTCCTACCACCATAACCACTCTAGATCATGTTTATAAATGATCTTGAAGACAGCATTGAAAGTCATGTTTCAGTGTTTGCAGATGACACAAAACTCTGTAAAATAATACAATGTGAGCAAGATATTTCTTTGCTGCAGATGGATTTAGATAGACTGGGGGACTGGGCACTCAAATGGCAGATGAAATTTAATGTTGAAAAATGCAAAGTTATGCACTTCGGCGTAAAGAATACACAAGCAACGTATACCCTTAATGGAAGCGAATTAGGGATAACAACACACGAAAAGGACTTGGGAATTGTTATAGACAACAAACTATACAACAATATGCAATGTCAATCAGCAGTGGCCAAGGCCAGTAAAGTATTGTCATGCATGGAAAAGGGCATTCATTCTCGGGACGAGAATATAATTTTGCCTCTTTATAAATCACTGGTAAGACCACATATTGAATATGCTGTGCAATTTTGGGCACTTGTTCTAAAGAAGGATATTATGGCACTAGAAAAAGTGCAGAGGCGGGCTACAAAATTAATAAAAGGAATGGAACATAGCTATTATTTTTATTATTATTATTATCGCAATTTATATAGCGCCAACAGATTCCATAGCGCTTTACAATATTATGAGGGGGGGGATTTAACTATAAATAGGACAATTACAAAAAACTTACAGGAATGACAGGTTGAAGAGAAAGGTTAACAAAATTAAACCTATTTAGTTTAGAAAAACGTCGCCTGGGGGGCGTGGCCTGACGGGCGAAGCGGATGGTCGCACAGTGCTGAGCTCCGCGCGCCAACGGCCCGAAAAAGCGGAATATACAAGCTGTACCGGCTTATAACAATACCACACACGACCCCCCAGGCATGGCAGCACAGAAGGCCAAGAAGCAGGCTGAAAAGAACGATCGGGCCGGCTTCTTTGCGACCCGAGCGTCGACGCCGAAATTTATGGGCCTAGCTGACCAGGGACAAGATGGCGACGGAGGTAACGACACGCTGCCACTACCGACCTCCCCAGGCACACAAAACCTGCCAGTGACCCAAGACTTCCTACAGAAGTGTCTAGACACCATGTCCAGCAGGATTCTTGAAACCCTGCAAGGCACACTAGGAGAAGTGAAAAGGGAGATGCAGGAGCTGGGTGACAGGACAGCACAGGTGGAGAATCGTGTGTAGGAACAAGCCACAGTGCACAATGCTATGGCAGAACAAGTACAGGAGCTGCAACAACAATTTGACATCACGCAGAGGAAGGTCATGGACCTAGAGGACTGTTCGAGACGTCAGAACCTTAGAATCAGGGGCATCCCTGAGGAGGTAAAGCAGCAAGATTTGCATGAATACCTAATGGGGTACTTTAAAGCGATAGCACCAGATCTGCTAGCTGACATTCTACTGCTGGATAGACATCACAGGGTGGAAAAACCGGCGTTCTTACCACAAGACACCCCCAGAGATGTACTAGCTCACTTACACTATTTCCATGCTAAAGATGCACTACTTCAAGCGACGAGAACGGGCGGCGATCCACCACAAAAATACAAACATATCAAAATGTTCACAGACCTCTCTGCGGCTACACTGCAAAAAAGAAAGGAATTCAGGGAAACGACTGAAACCCTCCGCTACAACAATATACAGTACAGGTGGGGATTCCCTATCCGCCTCCTAATTAGAAGAAATGGAAGGGTGACCACAGTGAATACCCTGGAAGAAGGCCGCAAACTGCTGCGCAGCTGGAACGTTCTGCCAAACCCGGAGAAGAAAGACGCAACTGCGGCACAGAGAATACCACCAGAATGGAAAAAGAACAAAAAATGAACTAACAGAGACAGTTTTTCTTTCGCTGAGGACACTGAGGCAGAGCCTGCAGTCTGGCGGACAGTGAAGCGCAAGTATTCCCAGCACTACATGCATATTCACGAACATCCAGAGACATACACGACACATTCACTCACAAGTACACAGGAAAATATTTTTTTTTAAAAAGCCAGGAAGGCTTGATGTGCACTTGAACCACAATCATACTAAAACACAAAGCCCATAACACACACGGATACAGAGAAAAAAAAAAAAAAGTAACGTAAACTAGTAACCTATACGCCACAGCAACAGCCGGTAAATTCACACATGTACCAACCACGACACACAGGTGAATACCGACGGAAAGATTCGGGCACCCAAGGTGCAACCACTTATCTTGCCAGAAAAAATACCGAAACAAATCAAATTGATACTATATCACACATTAATATCAGCCAACCTAGTGATATCCCGACATTGGAAAAAAGCATTCGCCCCACCCATAGAGGACCTTGTAAAACAGGTAAACCAAAATTGGGAATACGAAAAAATGGCTCATACACAATTCGGAACACGAAAAGGGATACAGGAAGCACACAACCTGTGGGTTAAACATATCACGAGCTAAGACACCACCCCTTCCAACACCGACCACCCTAGCGAGTCTAACGACTCCTGAAACATAATTCGAGAGGCGCCACGCAGAGCGCCAACAGACGTCACCGTACCAAACATATATTAAAAGGGGATTTCTGTAACTAACCAATGAAGCCCCGGAAACCACGAAAACCAGGAAAGCATGTATGTAAATGTCTAACTATGATGCATACTTATATGTATATGACTACACATAGCTATTGTCTGTGTAGCCAGCATGCAATGTACTTCCCCCCCCCCTTTCCTTATTCTGTACCCCCATGTTTCTTTTTGCTCTAAGACAAAATAAAAATTGTCAATTGAAAAAAAAAAAGAAAAATGTCGCCTGAGAGGGGATTTGATAACATTATACAAATATATTCGGGGCCAATACAAACCATTGTGTGGAAGTCTATTCACAAACCGGACTTTACATAGGACACGAGGTCATGCGCTTAGACTGGAAGAAAGAAGATTTCGTCTAAGGCAAAGGAAAGGTTTTTTTTTTACTGTAAGAACAATAAGGATGTGGAATTCTCTGCCTGAAGAAGTGGTTTTAACAGAGTCCATACAGATGTTCAAACGGCCACTAGATGCATACAGGGCCGGACTGGGAATGAAAAGCAGCCCTGGAAAAAAATTCTATACCAGCCCCATAATGCATCGCGCCAGCATAGTGTGCAGATATGAAAGTGGGAAAAAAAAAAACCTTAAAACTAAAACCGATCACTCAAACATGAAAGAAAGCACTTATAGGGCTTCAAAATAAAGCAGAGCAGATTTATTGTAAGCAGACGTGCATTTGCATATAATCAATGTTTCAGTCCAACTACCTTGATATATTAAAAAATGTTTGGTCATTTGGATTGAAATTGTGAATGTATCCTATTGTACAGCAATATTTTGAAGTAACGAGAGTATGATCGTCACTTTGGCCGACAACTGGATGATCTCCCATAGGAAAGCATTGGCAGACTATTGCGTATGTGTGGCAAAACGCAGTGCTTCACCGCACCAATCCACATCTCCTCATAGAGATACATTGCATCAATGCATCTCTACTTGGAGGGTTCAGGGCCTCCATGCAGAGAGTGTAGATGCTCAACATAGGTGCTGCACGTGCAGCACTGGACTAGAAAGCATCTCTAGTGGTCGTCTGAGTGACTGTCACTAGAGATGTGCCTAGGCAGCAATGTAAACACTGCCTTTTCTATGAAAAGTTGGCATTTACAGTGCTCAGCCTACAGGGACAGGCTATAGACACCAGAACCACTACAATAAACTGTTCTGGTGACTATAGTGTCTCTTAAATATCACGTCTTTCTCTCACCAGCCGACTTTGAGTTACAAGGAGAGCAGGAGACACAAGTTAAGTTTGTTTTTCTCCCCCAATCCCCTTTCACGTGTCTCTCAGCCCCTTTGTATCTTTCCCCACAGATCCTCTTTATGTCTCATTCTCTCCTTCCCCACTCCCTCTGTGTGTCTCTTGTTCGTCTTCCTCAGCTCCTCGGTGTGCGTCTCCTGTTCCCTTTTCCCTGTATGTACATAGCTGGGAATGTGGTGCGACTAAGAGTAAGGAGGCTACCCCAATTCTCCCCCAATAATGAAAAACAACAAATATTGGATGAAACAGGCCACAGCATTTATTAAACTTACAACTGTAGGACTCATCCGAACTTTATTCTTTTTCTTTAATTTAAATATAAATAAACACATAAATATATACACATACCATAATTAACATATAAATCAACATATAAATTACACTTATTGCCCTACAGCCTCCAACTTAAATAACCGTCCTTGCCAACGAACTTAACCAGGTGCCTACGCACCAAAACTTTACCCACTGGTGTCTCGCCTCCCCCCTTGTCCAAACCAAAAATTCCCATCATCTTAAATGCTCTACCACCAGCCGGCTTTTTGCTCGTTGGGCACGTCCTATTCGGTAACTTAAAGGTTTACCTTACAGAGCAGGAGATGTCCATCTCCTGACATTCCATCTGCTCCCCAACCTTGTTGGCAAGGACACGCTCCCCGCCACAAACCCCGCTGTTTTAAACCTAAAATCAGCCGGGAGCCCCACCAAAACCAACCAGGCCTGTTCCACCACTTCCTGCATGGCAAGACGAAAAAAGGTCTAGCCTGACCTTCATCACCCAGAAACACAGTAGCTGCCACATGCGTGAAAACACCCTGTGGCAAACCAAAATCCCCTCACCTTCAAACACCTCGAAAGGCCCTCCAATTTTGCTTCATACGGCAGCGTACCATGCACTGATTATGGGCCCGCTGACAAAAGATATGGGAAATGACCTCCGACCAATCAGGGTTATTTCTTGATTTTTTTTTAATTTTTTTTTAGAACTGCTTTTGTTATAACATACGACAAGTCCTGTATAACACATCCAGAACTACTTATAATAATCTCTATAATCATAATCTCTCTTCTTTTCTGAAACCAAAACGTTAAACATAAATAACCATAACTTAACATATATAACTTAAGGTTCATACAGTGAACCCAACACCACGCATCACGAAACAACTAAAACACGCACCAATACCGTCTTAGGGGCAGATGCCAAACACCACCTTGCCCGCCAGGTGGATAACCCGAACATTAGGGACAGGTGGGACAGCTGAACCTGCTCCGGGAGGAGCCGAACACATTTCATACCTCCGGCACCAAACCAAAGAACCTCCGCTTCGGAAGGCGCACAACCCAATAGCTCACCTCCCAGATGGACACCCGCATCCCACCTGGGAGTATAACCAGGAAAAGGACATCCAGATTTTACCTGTTTTCCAAGTGCACCCTGGGAATTGTCACTTGTACCCAAGGAACTGGTACTCATTTATCTACCTCAAAAGGAATGAATGGATGAGCCACCGCCGCTGAGAATTGAACCCGAACCCCCCCAAGGATTGAACAAATTCCATGAAACCAGCATTACTTCACGAGACATCTCACCATACCCCCTCCTGGTTCTTTGCGCCACGTGCGCTGACATACCCATCCTAAAAGCATCCAAACCGAAAGTAATGCCACATGATTCTTTGCTGACAATCCCCAGAACCATCAGACTTGAGCAAAAGACCCAAAAATTGGGAATGGGAAAGAAAAGAAAATCACATTCGCATAACCCAAAAGTGGGCCCGTGCATACTGGACGCAGCTCACAGTTCTCTACAAAGGAAAAGTGCAACAGCCGAACCGCCATACCCTTCCCGAAAAACATCCGACCTGGATTGTCAAATACTTATATTGATATGTGATATGATCTGCAGTGCGCCGAATGGTGGCAAACAATACCCCACCATGGCATGGCCTACTAGGAATCACCAATACCCCAACATGCACGGCCCCCAGGAGCATAGCGTCCAGGTGGCCGTGGAAACCGATCCACAGACCCATTCCGTCACTCTGCCAGACTGAGCGACCAGATGTCCGCCGGGCAAGACACCCCTCCAGATCCGCCTGTGAGGCGATTGCCCCTTAAGCAAGCGAGGGAAGGAAGCTGTCAGCCGAGTAATGGCTTGAACAACCCCCAAATTGTCGCAGTGAAACACTACCTTTAGATACTGAAACGTGACTGCCAGACCTCCCCCACCACCAAAATAGGGAAACGCTTCAAAAAGCCCAGATTCTTTGTGAGCCCAGAGACATGCCAACTGTCCGGCCACACGGGAGCACACCAACTAAAGCCCAGAATGGCCCCAAATGGCGAGGCCCGG